TGCTCCACACACCTCAGACTCATGGGTGGGCTCCTGGTGTGCTCCACACACCTCAGACTCATGGTGGGCTCCTGGTGTGCTCCACACACCTCAGACTCATGGTGGGCTCCTCGTATGCTCCACACACCTCAGACTCATGGGTGGGCTCCTGGTGTGCTCCACACACCTCAGACTCATGGTGGGCTCCTCCTGTGCTCCACACACCTCAGACTCATGGTGGGCTCCTCGTATGCTCCACACACCTCAGACTCATGGGTGGGCTCCTGGTGTGCTCCACACACCTCAGACTCATGGTGGGCAGACTTGCTCAGGTCAAGGCCGTGGAGATAATAGAGGACCTGGGCACCTGATGCTTGGGCTCAGGAAGGAGTTGCTTCAGGGTCTTCTTTCCTTCCAGAGGGAATCTGAAACATAAACCCAGACTGGGTCTGGCCTGGTGCTTGCTGGGTAGCTTGGGAGATGGAGGTGCTCACCTGGGGGTGCACTCTGTGCATTTTATTTTTCTGGAATTTAGGATAGACTCTTAGAGCTGTTTGTATTCTGACCTGCTTTAAAGAAGAACAGAAAATCCAAATTGCTGCTGGAAGTTTTTTATTTTAACAGTTTTAAAAAGTGACGATATCATTGAAGATTTATATGACTGGAAAAGAAAGCTAGTTTATTTTGCTTGAACTTAAAGTAAAGCTAGAAGAGTGTGTTGTTCAAACGCTAACGTTGGATTCTTATGAGTACAGCAGGCACACTCCTCATGGATTTACGAGAGGTGCGGTTCAGACACGGGTGGGTAGGTGTTGTCTTGTTCTGTGTAGAGACATTACCCAGTGTTACCAGTGGGAACCTGGACTCCACTGTTAGATGAGTCTATAAGGTCAGAGGGCATCATCAGGTCGGTGTGTTTGTGGAAGCTAATACATTGAGTGAACCAGCATAGCCCATTGGGTGGCAGTCCTTCTTCCTGCTTGTCCCCTTTATCACTGAGTGATGACAGCAGGCCTAGGCCTCTCTCCACCCGAGATGGTTTTCCTCCCCCCTTCCCCCCACTCACAGCAGTCTTCTGTGTGTTTTGTTGTTGTTTGTTGAGATAGGGTCTCCTTATGTAGCCTATGTGGTCTGGAACTCATGATTCTCCTGCCATAAGTTTTGGGGTTTCAGGCATGTACCATTATAGCCAGCCCATTGGACTTTTTGTATGCATACTATATGTAGCAGTGACTGGCTGACTTCTAGAAAAGAACCTGCCTCTGAGAACCATCTCTTCACTTACAAACCATTGATGCCACCAAGAGATTATTTATTCACTTCTGAATTCTAAAATCCAGCTATTTCCATCCTTACCTACGCTGAGAGCCCGTGCCCATGCTCACCCTGCCAGCGTGTTTCCCCTTGATGTTTGTCCCAGATGACCTCAGTTCTGTGACTAGAGAACCCTGACTAATACAGTGTTTTAAGGCAGCATGTGACAGGGACCTAGCAGAGGATTCCTGGGAGAGGTGCACATGATACTGGAGTGTGCACGGATGAGTTGGGCCCATGGATTTGCAAACTGGCAGCGCTTGGACTCCGCTGCATCAGCACACTTGCCCGCCTTTGAGCCATCATTTTTCGTTCTGTCTGCCCAAGGGACTCCTGTTATTTGAGCTCATATCTTGTTTTGATGTATTCTTTTACAATCAGGATAGCTTGGGCCTGCTACACCTCAGCTCTGGTGTTCCTGGCAGCTGGATGGAGGTTGGGAGCTTACATTTGAGCAGTGCTGTACTGTCTGACCGTGTACTGTCTGACTCTCTCCTCTCTCAGAGGACTACCCCAATGGCACCTGGCTGGGCGACGAGAACAACCCTGAGATGCGCGTGCGCTGTGCCATCATCCCCTCTGACATGCTGCACATCAGCACCAACTGTCGCACAGCCGAGAAGATGGCGCTGACCCTGCTGGACTACCTGTTCCACCGTGAGGTGCAGGCTGTGTCCAACTTGTCAGGCCAGGGCAAGCATGGGAAGAAGCAGCTGGACCCCCTCACTATCTATGGCATCCGGTGTAAGTCTACACAGCTGACAACAGCCTGGCTTGTGAGGCTGCTGAGGTGTCAGGGAGCTGAATGCACACCATGTTTTCATTCCTGGGGTTTCCAGTCAGTGCTCGTCATGGAGATGGCGATCTGGACTCAGGATTTGTTTTGGCAGGATGTTGTGTGCCACCCTGTGCTGAGGGGACACTTGGGAATGTGCTTCCCTGGGGACTTGAGATCCCAGTCTTCTCATCCTTAGGCTGCTTTAGGAGAAGAGAGCAAAGGTGGGATTATTCCTCCTGCCCACTGCCCTAGTGCCCTGAGGTTCCCAATGGCATGAGTGGAGTACTACCTTCTTTCTGTTCAGGGAGGTCTTGGCCTTGGCACTGTGACATGCCCATGAGCTGACCTGGCTGTGCTGGAGGCCAGTAGCACTCTAGGACCAATTTTAGTGCCCAACATGAACTGGTTGTTTTCCTCTACTTGAGGAACACCCATTGCTCAAGCTGGTTGTCATTGTGTCATCCTGTTGATTTGTGGAAAGCATGTAAGAAGCTAAGGCCCCTCTTCTCAGTGTCCAGTCTGATGCCCAGCCTCCTAGGCTGTTCATTCCTGAGCTACCTGGAAGGAACTGGCAAGTGATAGCCTCTGCTCATATGCAGGCTGAGTCCTGGGATGCTGTGTGTTTAGTTTCACTGGGGCCACACCTTTGGCTTTTCCATCATCCCAGAGTGGGCAGCTTCGTTGTCCCTACCGAGGAGACAGCCACATGGGCAAGTACTGGGGCCAGAGGCATCCCAGGTCTATCAAATATCCACAGAAGGTAGGTATCTGACACCTCTTAGAAAGAGAGACTGGCCCTGGGGCTTCAGAGTGTTGGGCCAGTGTACCCCACAGTTAAGACACTGGCTTAGCTCCGGGGGTTTGTAGTAGGTGGGGGAGAAAGGGGTGCTACTAAGGCTATGGCCATCTGCCTTGCCTTCCCCAAATCATGGTTTACACCATGTTCACTTGGCTGTAGGCCGTGTGTGAGAGAAGGAGTGTAGACTGTTCATGATGACCATGCTCTGTGGCCTCGGGCTCCATGCTAGTCTCTCTGTGCACTGGTTCCTTAGCTTAAAACCAGAAACCTGGTGAATTGCTAGCACACCTTCCCCTGTGTGGGCCCTCTTCCTCCCAAGTGCTGGGATTAAAGGTGTACGCCACCACACCTATGCAGTGACTCTTCCTAAACCATTACCTAGAACAGACAGTTTCCTGGTTGTAAGTTGCAGGTAGCACATTATCCAGAGAGCCCTCCTGGCGTGGTGCATTGTGGGATATATTGGATTTCTAGGGCTATGATAACAGAGTCCATGCTGGAACATTCAGACACAGGCCCAGATGCAAGGTCTAGGTGTTGGCTGGGCAACACCACCTCCTCCTCCAGAGGGGATTTACCTCTAGCTCTGGTGGTGGCTGGTAGTTTTGGTGCTTCCTGATGCTGCCTCCATTGGCCGTCTCCTCCCTGTATGTCTGTGTCTATTTCTCCCATCTCCTTATAAGCACGCGTTGTACAGCAGTGAGATCCCACTACTGTAGCCTCTTCCTCAGTCATGTCTGCACATGACCTGGGTCATTCGGAGGTCCTGGAAAGATAACAATTTTGGAAAGGGTATAAACACCATATGAGACGGCTGTACATTTAAGGTGTTCTAGAAAGCACGCGTGTCGCACTGAGGGGAGTTTTGGATGAGGAGGGGAGACAGTACTCTTACTGGTCTGGACTGAGGTGGGCTGGACCACACAGAGCTGCAGAGGGTAATGGACTGCAGCTCTGACGAGGCCAAGTGAGCGCAGGATGATTTGATTCCTCAATTTGATTCCTTAGGCAATTAGGATGGTGTGTGTTGTCTTGTGAGTTTAGGGAAAGAGAAGTTACAGGCTGGGGAGTCTGGGGCCTGAGAGAAATGGAGTCCTCTTGGTGTTGGAGTGAAGCCGGGTTATTTAATGGTTAAATAGACAGGATGTGTAATAAGTGTCTGCATCTGACCCTGCCGACCCTAGTGACCTGAGTGATGGCGATCTCCTTGCTGAAGGGAGATTTTCTGGAAGATGGTCAGCCGTCCAGGAGTAGGCCAGCGGCTCAGCTAGGTCTCTTAGCAATGCTTAGCTGTGTGTTTGTTGTTCTCAGCAGAGGGGCTCAGGACAAGGCCTGCATATGACAGCTCTTATCTGGGATGTATTCTTTCAGGTCACCTCTTCTATAAATTTGGAATCACGGAATCTGACTGGTATCGAATCAAGCAGAGCATTGATTCCAAGTGCCGCACAGCCTGGCGGCGGAAGCAGCGAGGCCAGAGCCTGGCGGTCAAGAGCTTCTCTCGGAGGACACCATCCTCTTCCTCATACAGTGCCTCAGGTAGGCTCAGGAGACGCTGTCTCGAAGCTGTTGGTCCTCAGTCCTGGCCCCAGTCAGTGTGAGGCTGGCCTGGTGGGAACTCCCTAGGCAGTGAGAGCAGGAGGCCTGCTGAGTTTACACTGTAGGCTCAACAGGGTCCTTTGGTGTAGGACCTTTCCTGCGTTGCCTGGTTACTTATCTTCTGAGTGTCTTGCTGCCTTAGTAGCTACTGCTTACAGAGTGCTGTGGGTGAGGGGTGGAGGGCCCATGTTGTGCTCTTTATTCTTAGTTTGAGCTTGTAGACCCAGGCTTGTCCTTAAGATCACAGAGACATTGTCTGTACCCTACCTGTTGGCCTGTTCCCTCCCTTTACTCTAGTGTAGGGCTTGTGTCCAGAGTCTTAGGCGGTTTTGGCTCTGGTCCTTTGCTACTGAGCTATGCTCTCAATCCTAAAGTTGTCTTTTAAACTCCTTTTCATAGCTTTCTTGGCAGTAGCAATAGCTCCTGTAAGCTGAGTCCTGGGTCAGCTCAGGCCCTGGGGCAGCAGTGAGCAGGGGCCGGCAAGGCTCCCTGTCAGTGCGGGCTTTGTCTAAGGACTCTGTTTTGGAAGCTGCAAGCTGTTCACCTGGAGCCCTCCCTGACCATCTTCTAGAAAGTGTTCTTCCTCCTTTGTTTTAGTGGTTATCAGATACTTAGCTGTAGCCGTTGCCAAGGTTCTAAGGTGGCAGCTGTGTGGGCCACACACACTGTTCCCTGTAGGGCAGTGTTTCTACAGGTGGCATGCAGGACTAGGAGTTGAACTTCTTCCTGGGAACCCACGGGAGCCTTTAGGCATGAGAGGAATGTGTCTGGTGAAGTTGTATCTGGCTGAGGGGGGTGTGGCTGTTGAATGGGGCAGACAGGACTTGTAACTAACCTGAGATGTACTCTTGAGTGCTGTCAACCCGAGCTGGTTGTGGTCAGCCTTACCTGAGCAGAGGGTCTTCATGGCGGCAATTCTGACAGTGCTCGTCAGTTCTGTTTGTCTCTCTGTGGCTCCCATGTTACTGTTAGTGAGCGGTGCATCCATTGAGCAAAGAGTGGGAAGATTCCACCTTTCTCAGGTTGTAACAGCCTCACTGGATGCAGTGAGCCTTCTTGCTGTGAAAGTGCCGTGCAGACAAGTGGATACCTAGGTCTGTGTGTCAGATCCCCTGGAACCGGAGTTCTGGTGGCTGTGAGCCACCATGTGGGTGCTGCGAACTGAACCCAGGTCTTCTGACAGAACAGCCAGTGCTCTTAACTGTTGAGCGTCTCTCCAACCCCATAAAGCCAGAACTAAATGACAACCTGGGAAGATCATCCTGGGCCACAGACTTTAGCATTGGACTAGGAAGACAGCAACATCCTGACACCTAACCTAGGAAGACCACCACAGTCTAGGATCCAATGCCAAGAAACAGGAAAATGACCAAAACAGATAACAAACAAAACCTAAATCCAACCAACCAACCAAACCACCCTCCTGCCCTAGTGACTAAGGAGATCCAGTCTTAACAGCCCATGCCACTACAGTGTTATTAAAGTTACGTTCAGGGACTTAAGAGAGGAGTCGGAATCTAGTAGCAGGGCAATAGATATTCAAAGAGTTGCCAAGCAGAGTTAGAGATGAGACATGAGAGAACGGTTGCCAGGCACCTGGACTTCATGCAGGCTGAAGGGGGCTGTTTTATCACAAGGAATTAGTCAAGTAGAGTTTATTAGACAGGGCCTTGATGAGCCAGGTCTCACCTGCATCCGACAGAGTAAGGACGCATGGCCCGTGTTCCTAGTGTTAAGACAAACACAGGGCAACTGGAAAGAGCCAGGGCTCTGTAGCTGTCCACATGGTCACAGCACCTGGTCAGGTGCCCAGACAGCCCAGAAGCATCTACCTGCAGGCTCCTCTGCTGCAGTCATACACATGCTGAGCTCAGGTACCCGTGCCGCTGAACAGTTTACCGTATACATCTTCTGAGACTATACGGCGGTCTGCCCATGGTCACAGGGAAGTGTTTGGGAGACACTGAGAAGGCTGTCTGTGTCATCAGCTTCACGGCCTTTGTGTTTCCCCTTCCACACAAAATGGTAGTCTGCTTTCTCAGGGCTCAGGACGTCACACTGTTGCCCAGCATGTTTGTTCTGACCAGTTATTACAACTCTCTCTCACAGAATTGCATAATATACATTGAAAAATTTTTAAAAAATTACAATCCCTAATTATTTGTTTCAGACAATTCTGCTTGTAATGTCATTACAGTTAGAGGCTGAAGTGTCAGAACACACGTGCCGGAGGCCTTAGGCTCAGTCTCCAGTACTAGGGGGAAAATTAATATATCATATACCAAATCACATGTACCTTGCTTTGATTAAACATTGGAAGTACAATGTTTTGCAGATGTATCTTTGAGTTACATTTGTCTTTGGAGAAATGCCACATAGTGCAGCTCTCCTGCAGAGTCGGTCCTAGCATAGCCCTGTGGGTCATTTCTGAGGACAGACCTCCAGCCCGCAGTAGTTCAGTTGTTTGTTTGTGTAGGTGTGTATAGGAGAAACACTTTGCTACAACGGTGTCATTGAATCTTTACAATGCTTGACTCTGTCACAAATCTCGGTTCCCCTGACTTGCTGTTGACATCTCTGCAGAGATGCACTCACCTGAATCCAAGAGCCCTTCCTCTTCTGTAGAAATGGAGGCGGGGAGACATGAGGGACCCAAGATAACAGCTGTCATTCATTCTGTATGTGGGACCTGAGGTCCTAACCCTTGTTCCTGTGTCCACAGAGACCATGATGGGAACCCCTCCCCCCACCAGCGAGCTACAGCAGTCACAGCCACAGGCCCTACACTACGCATTGGCCAACGCACAGCAAGTCCAGATCCACCAGATTGGGGAGGATGGACAGGTGCAAGTAGTACGTACTGTTTTACTCCCGTGTCTGGACAGCGTGGGAGGAGGCTGGGGAAAGGCCTTGTCTGTGCACAGTTCTTCAGCGTGTGCTGGGCTCCTGTAGGCACCGCTCAGTGAAGGGGCAGGCCTCAGTTTGGGTGCCGTGTTCACACAAAAGTGGAGCCTTCTGCACCCTCTGAGCAGACAGTAGGAAGTGCCAGAACAGGAAGTATGCGCCTCAGAAACTGACTTTGAGGGTCGCACTGGGGTGCTGGTGCTTTTGGCCCACTGGGCTGTGGGGCTGGTGTAAAGGAGGCAGAGTGACTGTAAGCTCTGGCTCTCTTGGGCTTGTTGAGTGTATAACTGACTAGACACCAGCAGGTATTTTCATCTGGCTGGGAGGACTCTGGGAAAGCGTGGGACTAGATGGCTTTGGCACAGGTTCTGTGAACAGTGAAGCAACCGTGGCCCAGCATCTGTAATAGGCTGTTTGCTATAAGATCTTTTTGGGCCAAGATAGGATTTAAAAAATAAAAAGATTTATTTATTTATTGTTTAGCTGTGTGTAGGGTTTGTGCATGTGAATGCATGTGTTCACAGAGACCAGAGAGGGCGTTAGCTCCTACAGGTGCAAGTAGTCCATACCGTTTTACTCCCGTGTCTGGGGAGCGTGGGAGGAGGCTGGGGAAAGGCCTTGGCTGTGCACAGTTCTTCAGTGTGTGCTGGGTCCGTACTGCTTGCACCTGCAGAGGGCTGCAGCTGGGGTTATATGGAGCTGCCCAATGTGGGTGCTGAGAATTGAACTCAGGTCTTCTGCAAGAACAAGTGTCCTTAAACTCGGCCACTTCTCCTGCCCCTGAGTAGATTTTGATAGGAATCAGAGCTCTGGGCTTCTGTGGAGCCATATTGTTAGTTGTCTCTGTGACTTGTTTAAATGTGAGTTTACCATCTGCGCACTTCCGGGCAGTGCACAGCTAACCCCTCCCATCTGCCACCCTTACCTGCACGTTCTTAGTCGGTACGTCACGTTGACAGGTTCAGCAGGTTTCATAAATCATGTGATGAGCACTTACTTCTGGAGGCTGTGGGGTGAGCTCAGGCTGTGCACACATTTCACAGCTGGCCTGTGTGTGGAACCAAAGCTCCTTGCTCTCCAGCAGTTTCTGAGGTGCCTACTCTCCTGGGCCGAAAGCAGCCAGGCATGAAGGTGGCAGAGGGTGCTTGCTGTTTCCTTCGGTTTGTTTTCCTCTGATGCTTCTTGGTGTCCTCTCTTGCTGTGGATCCCACAGGGCCACCTCCATATTGCCCAGGTGCCTCAAGGGGAACAGGTGCAGATCACACAGGACAGTGAGGTGAGTCAGGTGTCCTATCGCGGTCACAGGCCGTGCAGTCATGCACTCAGGGTGTGGAAGCATGGCCATTCCAGCGGAGCCTGGGAAACTCTGGGAGAGATTCTGCCTGGTGTGGTGGGGTGACTGGGACGCTTTTCTGGTGTCCCTTGCAGTCGATGATGGTGTGAAATGAGCCCTGTAGAGAGACACTGCAGATGCAGAGGGGTCCTTTGGTCCCAGCCGTGGGAGTAACTCCCTACCTATTATGACGCAAGCAGGCAGTGTGCTGATTGTTAGTATATTCCCGCCATGGGGACACTGCTCTGCTCCGGGCCATACTGGGCTACTGTGCACATGCCTTGTGAATCTACAGTTGTTTAAAATAAAAAGGAAAAAAAAAGTCCTCATTCATGGGTCAGAGTTGAGGGAATGGGTTTAATGTCTTATGATTTGAATATGAGAGAAAAAGCCAGAGATTCAGCTTATAATTCTTGTTTTGTTGTTGTGGGTTTATTGCTGAAAGGGGTTGCATTTTTGTAGACTTAGTAGTTTCCTGGTTATTTCTGACTCATGTAGGGAGGTTCTCACTGTTTCCTTTTTGCACTGTGCAGGGCAATCTGCAGATCCATCACGTGGGTCAGGACGGTCAGGTAAGTGCTCGGCTTTCCCATGCACTCCTCACTGCGGCCTGCACACAGTCTGTCCTCCTCAGCGCCAGACACTACTGTGGGGTGGGGGTGGAGTTGCCTCCAGCACGAGGGAGCTGAGCCGAGCTGTCTAGGAGTATGGACAGGTGGGCTCGGTCCTGAGCTGTTCTCCTGGGCTCTCACATTGGTTTTTACACTGGAGAAGAAGTCCCCGCTAGTTCATTACTGTCTGCAACATTCCATGAGAATCTGATGGACAAGGTAGGCTTGGGTCTTGATAATGCTGTTAAACACGTCCTGTTCTGAGGTGAGGGGAGCCAGTCTCTAATGTATATTCCTGGAGGATGGGTGTGCTTAGTAAAGTGTCCCAGGCTCTGGGCCCCCAGGAGGATGTGCTCTTGTGGGGAGGAAGCTGGTGCTGGCAGTGGGGGTTTGTTTGCAAGGCGTGGCCTTCAGGGAGTTTTTGTGAAGATTGGTTTTAGTTCTGGGTTATATGAGTCGTCAGGACAGGCTCCCGTTAGTGTACTGTAGCTTTCATTTGTAGACACACAGAGCTCACTCACCACACAGGAGGCTCTGCTCTCTGTGCTGGAAGGAAGACCCATGTGGCTTCCTCGTACTACCTGCTTTGGAGAGAGTCAAAGCTAAAGAGACCCCCAGTCATGGCTGCCAAGCTCCAGCAGTTAGGAACAGGTAGCAGACGCCGGGTCTCATGCCTTCCTCTTGGAGAGTTTCTTGCTGTCAGCTGGGACAGCAGAGGCCCAGCCAGGCTTGAAACTGGTTCCTCGCTCAGCCTTTGAGGACGTGGTTTGGGTTGGGTAAGTTGGGAAGGCTGCACCTGTTTGTAGATGAGGAAAGTGAAGCCTCACCTAAGTTCCCCACTGTTTCTATTGTGAATAGAGTTCTGCCTGGAATTGGAAATGAACACAAGAGGGCTTTTCCTTGGCCCTGCATCTAACACGAGGGCAGAGATTCCGTCTAACCCCAGGCATGGCAGCTCATGGCCTGGCCACAGGCATCTAGTCAGGGACAGTGAGGCTGTGAAAGAGCCATTGCTGGAGCTTCCAGGTCATGACACCTCTGGTTCTGCCCCTGTCTCCAGTGTCTCAGAAGCCTGCCCCTGCTGCCAACTCTGCTCCAAGCAGCCACCCTACAAGAAGCTGCCATGCTGGTCACTTGTCAAACTGAGAAGTAACTTGTCCATCTCTGATTCTTTCTGCATGTGAACCCCCATACTTTCTGCCCCCTGCTTCCCAGTGTCACTGTATCTGGGACCAAATATCAAAGGGCACTCACTGTTGGCCCCCCCTTCTCTCCCAGAGGTAGCTTGCCTTCAGATGGCAGTGTGCAGCATGTGCTTAAGAAGTGCTGCTTGTCATCTGGCTGCTTCTCGTGTCTGTTTAGTAACCTGACTCAGCATGGCTTCATTTATGGTACAAAAACACAAATGCTCCATTTAATTTACCCTGATGTCCTCAGTGGAGCTAAAGAGCCCACACCTGTGCTGGGGACAGTCAGTCCTGTCACTTCTCTTCCTAGGTCCACAAGAGGATTGTGCCTGTTGACCTTGGATTCTTTAGCTGAACTGGTCTCAGGCCTCCCAGCATCCTCATGGGAATGCTGGACTGTTTTCCTAAGACTGACTGCAGGTGCTGGCTGTAGATGTATGGCGAAGGTGTTGACTAGGACACTGTCCTTGGTTGTAAAAGCTTGGAAAGACATCTATGTGGGAAGGTACTGGGGCTTGCTGCATCAAGGCTGCAGCAGGGTGACAGGGACAGCTGTGTCCCTAGAGGGAGGCTGTCTGTCACAGGAGGACTTGGGCATCAGAGATTCAGGATGAATGAGGTTAGAGCCATCTGAAGTTGGCCTGCCAGGTGCACATCGGCTCCCAGTGTAGTCAGCTGCTGTGGACGAGTGTGGTCAGGGAGAGCCAGTGGAGA